ATTACAAGGATGTTTAACTTGGGGTACCAAGGGAGGTGAACTATAAAGAGCAATACACCAGCCTCAGGAGAGCGAGAGAGAGAGAAAGAAAGAAAGAAAGAGAGGGAGAGGGAGAGGGAGAGAGAGAGAGAGGAAAAGGGAAAATGTAATTAATCACGCTACAGTCTGTGGGTCTGGTCTGGTGGAGGTGTTCTTGAGTTCTGGGTTTTGTTTGTCGGTTTTGAAAGAAAGGCCAGTGGAACAGGAATGCTGTGTATGGGTGGTCAATTAGTTTACAAATTTCAGCTGTGACAGAGGCATTCTCCTCAGCCCCGGCCCCAAACTCCCTCCTGCCATCCCTGACCAAACCACATCATATCAGGGCCCAAACCTCATGCCGTGATCTGAGGCATTCCCTGGGCTGTAACATAAAGAAGCTCACTCGATTTAGCTCAACCTAAATCAACAGCCTTTTACTGTGGTTACGTTGGATTGCCTTACATCCAGGATCTGCCAGCGCTTTTAGCCCCTTTTCAGTTTTCCATGCGTCCGACGTACTTCTGAGAACCGGACCTCCATCGCTCCGTCACTCTGCTTTCTCACATCCCTGGGATCGCACAACATGTTGCACATCCTTTCCGATTTGACCGAAAGTACTTATACCTCCCTGGACAGATCAGTTTAACTATAAAAGCCAAATAAAAGCCACATAAGCAGACTGAAATCAAATCTATAAAATGGGATAAATATGCTTTCTTGAACTTATCACAAATAGAGCACAGAACCAACAGTGTCTCCTGGTACGCAAGTGCTTCAGATAATAAAATGCTGACGACAACAACGATCAGGTTTTCCAGTTGGAAAGGGGAGTAATACTCGGCTTTTACTACGCTCACTTCATGCATGACAACAGCATCATAGCTGCAGTGGGCACCTAGCCACACACACACACACACACACACACACACACGTTCATGTGTTGAAAGACAAAAAACACCCAGCGGATCACACCACACTGTTGTGGTTAATCTGGTGATTAACACTATTATCAATCATCTTCTGTAATGCAGTGACAGCGTGCCCACCGGGATTGAGCAGCTGACTGATTCAGTGTGAAAGTTATCAGTGTGCACAGAATTAAGGCAAACTGGATCATTGTTCTACATGTTCACTCACATGAAGATGATTTCTACTTAACACACAGATTACATAAAATGAAATATGAACATGTAAGTTTGTCCTCTTGCACTGTATACTGCGACAGTGTGAGTGTCTATAGGCATATTCTCTGAGCACATAACTGATCTGTATGAGTACACTAGCACATCCAGCCATTGACCCCCATATGCATCCATACCTTTCTGGCTTTGTGTACGTGCAGAAGATTGTGCTGATTACAAAAGAATGAACTCCAATACATTTGTCCCACTGCGTGTGCGTGCCTCTTTGCATGAGTATGTGTGTGTGGGAGTTCAGGACAGGAAACGTAAAGGTTGAGGTAGTTCCTTGCAAACAAAGGCTCCTCTAGATCTCTGCATGAGTCCTTCCCTTTCATTGGCGCCCAAGGCTCCAGTTCATATCACTGTTATGCTAAGAGGGAACATCCTGGAGCTGCCACCCCCATTTTTCCCTTCACCCTCTACAGATGGCTTGACATTAAGTGAATCACAGTCATGTAGAACATTAGCAAACATTAGCTTTGTTATGAATAAGTAAAATTTCAGTGTAAAGCTCTGGTAGACGAGTGCCTTGTTCCTGAACCAGAGATAAATGACAAGCAATGCTGGCCATGATCTGGTTTTCTTCAGCAGTGATTGCAAGGGAACACACGATTCCCCAGTGACTCAGCGACCCCATCGACTTTACAAGCCCTTTGCTGCTTTTTCACAATCTTATCTCTCTGGGCCTCACCTTACAATCTGTCTCATCATCTTCCCTCCCACTCTCCTTCTCCATCTTTCAACCCTCCTTATTTCCATGCTCCTGCTCCATGGTTTTAACTGCCATGATTGAAAATTGAGTCATAACTTCCTGACGGCACTGTTCAAAGGTCATCCCCCCCTTCTTTTTTTTCTTCCTTGCCCCCTTTCCTCTTCTCCCTTTTGGGAGGCCCCTCATCCAACACGCCCAGTACTGCATTCCACAAGCGATGGGAGCACCTTCAAACGCTGCACAAGCAAAGCGGACCACCGCTCGCAGCAGCACGCAGGGCGACTGAGCCCCGGGCATCAGCTGCCACCAGGCCTCAGCACTAGGATCAAACCCTGCCAGGCAGCGCTTTGATTGGGGAGAAATTGCAATGTAGCAGCAACAGAGTCTGCGTGATGACAAGGAAAAAGCAACTGTAGCTCTCAAGGAGCAGAGTGATAACTGTACAGTATTAGCCACCTTCAAGCTGCTGAAGCCAGCTCCAAGTAAAACCCTCATGCCACAGAGGGGCCTCTCATGTCTGTGCTGGGAGGCTGGCAGCTGCGGTAGTGGGGCGCAGGCTTCTGAGCCCCTATTCGTCTGACCCCCAAATCCTTAAGGTCTCTAGTACACTGACACACAGCTCCGGTTTCACCCTCCCAAGGCTCCCTATATGCTTGACTCTCAAAACAATAATGTTCTTGTACATGGTCACATACCATGACACAGCAAACTTACAGTGCTGTAATTAACCGTCAATTAATCCATGAGTTGACCGACACAAATGTAATGGAATCCAATCTTGACTATTTCTCTCACACGTCACCCTCAGTGGAAGTGAAACAGTACGAGCAAAGACGTCAAAATTATTACTGCTTGACTTATTTCATAGCAAAGATCATGAGTAATTCTGTATTTCGGAAAAATCCTGCTGGGTATTGTGCTGAAAAAAATATTTTTTTTTACAGCAAGCAAAAAAAATTTCACCTCTGAATACTGTAAAATATTTTGAGGAACAGTTGTCATTAAAAGGAGCAGAACATATTTCTTCATACAAGCAGTATAGTGCATCATTTTGGCGAAAAGGACTGCACTATAAAATCTATATGTTGTCACATGCGTGCATGCGGTGTAGCTCAAAAAAGCCCAGTTCAGAGGAGTATTGACAGAAATACTTGATATCAAACCTGTATCAGAGACACATGGTCACCCTCTTGTCAGGGAGTTCAGCACTGCATTGCAATGGACAGCTGCTGCATCTCACCTGAAGCACAAACATAGAACATTTTCAACAAGTGAAAACACAAAGATCAAGATAGTAGTGTAGTAATATATAACAAAATATTGGGTTACATTTGTGTGCATATAAAGAAGGAGGCAGATTCACAAGCAGGATGGCCCGTGAGGACATTCATACAGGTGCCATGAGGGTAAGTGAACTACACCCCATCGGCATGAAATCTGTGTCAATCTTTAATTCAATGTTTGTGTAAATAATTACTTTCCCTCACAGAGCATTAAAGTGTAAACAATATCTTACTGTTTTGTTTGTAGAATAAAATGAATCATTACATTTTCAAGGATCGTGACCAGGAATTACATTTCACCACATGTTAATGACCTGCGCTGTTGAAATTATTGTTGGGCACACCAATAGAAGGCATCTGGTTTAGGAAATTTGAGGAACCTACATCCTACTGCGGTTCTGTTTTCATGTGTGTGAACAGAGACAGGTATGTCTCTCCTCTTGGCTAGCCTCCATTGTTAGTCTCCAGTTGTGCCTGCATGTTGTGATTATCAATGCACACATCTGGATGGACTTAGTCAAGGAATCCTATAAAGAACCTAATGGGCTCTTCTAACATTTTTTGAAGACTGATTAAGAGCCGTTTCAGATCTTGTTCACATCAATGAGTTCCATCTGCGATCTATTTAAGTTTTCACCGAATTCGTTGTCTACATTACTTGCTCCCTTTTCGGTGTAATGGGGGGTTTGGGGGATTTAGGGGAGACTTGCATGCTTTGTAGGTAACAGTTAATGTGCAAGACTGCTGAATATTTGCTAGTGGAGCAGGTCAGATACGATGTGACTGTCCAACTGAGCATACATGGAAATTGTAGATGTTTCTGTACCATGAAAACAATCCCATCTTCTTTAACATGCATGCAAATGCTTAAAAACACATAGTCATAGTCATAAATCTGCCTTTTCCAACAAATCTATTCTTTAAGCATGGTTGCTAACATTTGTTACTTATCTTTAGTCTTGCAAATCATAAAATAAAACCACTTTTTGGAGTCACGCCGTCATAAAAGGCCAATTGAAGTTACACCTTGCATTTTAGCTCAGTTACATCTAGCACACAGTCTGGTGAAGTAGCAAGCAGGCCTCGCTTTTAAGGCCTATTTGCCTTTCAATGGTGTGACCCTTATGTTTTATGGGGGAGACTAACACCATGAACTACATTTGTTACAAATTAGGCTTCCTAGTGCTGTAAAGTTGACACCTGCCACTTCAAACCTTTCTTTGGAGAGGAGGACGGCCATTGATAACCGACTAGAAAGAAAAAGCAGCATTACTACCCGGTAATGAGCTAGGCTAGCTACCGTTAACTCACGTCCACCTGGTCAAACTGACCGCAGGGTACCAAATAACATATTAAAAATGCTTTGGTTTGTTTACACAGTTTTGTTTAGCTACTAAATGGTCTCTTATCATCTCAAAAACACATATTGTTCAAATAATTATCAGACAATTATCTTATATCCATCAAAAATAATTATTAAACTCATTTTCAACTCAAAGGCACAAGGCGACAGTACCAGCCTTTGACCACAAGATGTCGCCAGACTCACCGCTCCGCTACTATTTATGTTGCCTTTAGGTGCTTCTCTTAAGGTCGTATTTCTGGGATTAGTTATAATAAAAGGATATGTAAGTTGTGGATTCTTTTTGATGAGTCGACTGCAACAGAAATGAACGATGGAACAAAACTATCATACATATATTTCTGTATAATGTATGTATAAAGTAATTTCCCTCGAAACATCGTTCGTTCCCGAGACAAGAGCTTGTAATTTCCCACAGCACGTAAAGCTACAATAATCCCGGATATGACAGCATAACCACAGGACCCAAACTTTAGCTAGTAGCTGAAGCTGTAGCACAACAGCTAAGCTATCAGTATTCAAAATAAAAGCTGTCGGAAGCACGTTATCTTGTGTATGACCGATTTCGACGTTGATATGGAGCTGTAGGCAGAATTTATAAACGAAGGTAATGGTCTCAAACTGGGTTTTACTCTTTCATGTGAAATGAACTGTCACTCTGGGGGACCGCTATGTAGCCAAATTGTTTTTTTCCGTAGCTAGCAGTAACAGTACAATCTGTTTACATGTTTAATTTGACACTGTGTGAACTGCTGTGAAGGTTAAACGCCGATCTGCTCGTAACTTGTTGTGATAAAAGCCTTGTTGTACCATTAAATTAACTTAATTACCACACGACTACAGTGGCTGGTTGCTGATGAGCAGAGCTGCTCAATTGTCAAATTGTTAAACGAAATCTAAATAACACTCATATCCAACACAGCTTTGACTAGCATACTTGTAAGACTTCTCAGTGAGTTTGGGGAAGACACTTCCCAGAAACGTTGCCACCCCCATCGCCTTTGTAATCCACAAAAAGTCTGGTATGATTACTGCATCCCTGACTACTGATCCCTTCCCTGTCAGTGTTGAGGAATGGTCTGACTGCAGCAGTACCAGTAAAGATGCACAGCCGTCTGCAGGAGTTGAAGAAGGAAGAGGAGACTCTCCTCAAAATCAAAGTCATGCTACAAGACCAGCTGAACAGGCTGAAGGTGAGTGACAGAGTTTACAGCACAAGTGTTTTGGGGTTTGTGGTACCTGTGCTTTATATATATATATATATATATATATATATAATAATGTGTTAATTCTGTGTTTCAGTTTGAAGAAGGGGCCTTGAAATCTATCATTAATGCTCAAACAGAAGAAGGAGCCTCTCAACGTTCAACCCCAGAAACTGAGGTAAATCAGATCAAGAAACAGCCCTGCTCAGATGTCACAGTCTGTCATCCTAACATGAAATTATATTGTTGCTTGTGTTTGTTGATGAATTGACATTTAAGTGGTTTGTGGAAATTGAGGATCAGATGTTTTTGTTACACTGCTGTACTGTCTTACTGGAGATGTTGCAGTCTGCAGGCCTGCATTACCTCACTGATCATATTTAGATTCACACAAAAACCAGGTTACTCTGAGTAATAACATTAAGACAGGAAATAGGTAAACATGTTTATGTAGTTTGCAGTAATCTGATTACTGCAAAACCCCAGTTTAGATACAGTACAACAAAGGTTGCCAAGAAATCATGTTACGCCAGCAGAAATGTTGCTGAGTTCCCTGGGTTAATTTTGAATCCCTTCATCTGTGGGGAATAATAATAATATTACAGTGCACATGGAGGCACTGACTAAATCATTTTACGACTGTTTTTTTTTTTAATTACTTCATTTTACTCAGATACATAGATAGCTGTTTTGAGGAAGCTTGTTTGTGTTATTTAGCAATTCAGAGATTGAACTGTGGAAATAATAAAATGTATACTTCATTTACTACGCTGAATAATAAACACCCCCCTTTCTGCTACCAATGCTTCATTTGTGCTTCATCACAGGTATGCACATATTTATTTGACATGTCGTTTTCGTTTTTTCATTGTTTCAGGTTAATATTAACCTTGACGATGAAAGTGAGATCAATCAGACCAAACTGCTACTGAACGCTGCTGTAGATTATGATATGGAGGAGGACGACGACGATGAGGAGGAGGAAGACGAAGAGAACGATGAAGAAGATGAGAACGGGTTTGAGTTTGTGCCTGAGGAGGATGAGGAAGAGGATGATTACTGAGATTCCCAGTGTTTCATGGGGCTTCAATATTTGCACCACTGAAGAAAAAAACACATGTAAACGGACATCTGTTTATTTGTTCACCTGTTTTGTACTATCACTTAGAAAGTTTAATTTATTTGGATGGAGTGAGTAACAGTTACAGTGTAATGATGTGTGGTGCGAACAGTATCCTCTCCTCTGCCTGATTGAAGGCATGTCATCCAGATTTCAAGTTATGTTAGAATAAACCTTTTTCACAGCAGCCATTTTGACATGAAATAGTAGGGTAAACACAGGTGTAACCACTGACTAATTAAGGTTCTGTTCCATTTAGTGTAGCAAAGTCTTTCCAGTGAGCCACCATGCACAATAGCAGCACCCTGATCGTTTCACCTGAATGGAAAAAAACCTTAGTTAGTATGATTGGTAATACCTGTGTTTACCCTACTATCTCATGTCAAAATGACTGCTGTGAAAAGGGTCTATTCATGTGTCAAATCTTGTGCGAAATGTAGTAAGACAGTGTTATTAGGTGCTTATAGCTTACTATACATATTGTGCATTTTCAGGATTAACATTAAAATGTATGGCTGGGCCATATAAGAAGATAGTGTGTATGCATTATGTAAGAAATGATAATTAAGCACAAAATAAAATGTTTTGCATAGGGTTCACCTGTCTGATTTTTACAATGTACACATACATGTTATGTTTTTCATATGTAATGCATGTTTACTTATGGGCAATAAGAGGATGCTTCCTTTTGTTCGTTTCTTTCTCAGATAGTCAGTTAATGGTAATACATATATAAAATTGTCCTAACCTGACCCAGGCAAATGAGTAATGCAGTGCAAACACTTTCCACTAGCAAACCATTCAGCATTTTCTAAACAGCTAAAACAATAGCCTGACAATAAGGCCAGCTTTCACACTGACAGCAGGGACAGCTCTGGAGAAGGGTGGTGCTACAACAGGCAACGTACAATAGAGATTGCACCAATAGATATATACAGCTTTCTACATGGTCTGCTGTTCCAGGAGAATTCCCATTCACCCGGGGACTTGGGCTCAGCACACATACCTGCAAATGAATTCTTCATAAGAGGTAATTGGACACCTTGTTCTACACAATTACTATTGTGGATCAAATTTTATGGAGTGATGTTTATGGATTCTGCACTTGTGATTTAAAAAATTATTTTAAACAAAAATGCATTAAGGAGAAAATTACATATTTTGAAGAAAACAAAGGTAAACATGACCAGAAATGTATTTTACTTAGATTTGCAGGAAAAATTTTTATGTTCTATGTCTGAACTTTCTCTATATTTTTGGATTTAAAGTTATTATAGCACAATGTCTTCAATTTTGCATCATATGATAAGTCCTATGTATCACACTGATTTCATTCACATTGGACTATAAGACTGAAGTGTGATATGATGCACCTGAACATCTGGCATTTAAATTATTTATGAAGAGAATAAGTTTATTTTGTGAGAGTTTTGATCACTTAAATCTGGACATTAGCCATGAAAATATAACAAATAACATAGATTTCTTTATAAATGGCAAATGAGGAGGTTGTGAAAGCAACCATATTCACATTTAGTCCATATGTGTGTGCATCCACTGACGTGATTGTACGCTGTAAATATCAACCTCGCTAACATTAACTTTGCTTACAGAGGTGAAAACCATAGTTTGTATGGGATCTGTCTGCCTCAGCAAGATGAGCTCACACTCCATTGACTTTGAAAAGGGGTATTTGGCTCTGCATTAGGGATGTGGGACCCCCTGCAGTCCATCACACTGGAAGCTTTCAGATTGATTGACGACAGTTTATTGTGATTATATTGACAGTTTTTCTGTTTCTACTTTCTACTTCTGTTTTCTGTTATTACTTTTACAAAAAAGGGATTGTAAGCATGTGTGTGTATCTCTTAGATATAACAACATGTTTGCCCCCACACCAAGCTTGTTATTGTGGTTAAGTGGAGATGCTAAATGGTTCTCATCTGTGTGCAGACATCAGTGAGGGACTGGAGCAGAACCAGACAGTGACTGTGCTGCAGGCTCAGGAGTATCATGCTGCCCCGCTGTGCGTTCAGTGTGTGTCATGTGTTTGTGTTGGTGCTGTGTCTGTCTTCGGCTGAGGACTTCGACTGGACAAAGAACGACCACAGCTCCTTCTATTATGGCACTTTTCCAGCTGGTAAACACGTGTTGTTCTTTTCTTCAGTGGGACAGATTCAGTGCACTCAATTATTTGGTAACTGGTTATATCATCCCTCCTAAGAGTCATCTAACTCACAGTTGAATGGTTTTATTTATTAGGATTTTCGTGGGGTGCCGGCAGTTCAGCCTATCAAACAGAAGGAGCCTGGGACAAAGATGGAAAAGGACTGAGTATCTGGGACGTGTTCAGTCATAAGAAAGGCAAAATCCAACGAAATGAGACAGGGGATTCCTCTTGTGAAGGCTACCACAAAGTCAAGGTGGGTTGATCGTGTGTGGTGTGTCTTAGAGATATAAATGCAACATGATTCTTTGATTCAAATATTTCCCTCCATTGTGTGTAAATGTGTGTTTTTTGTTGTACAGGATGATGTTTCTTTGATGAAGGAGCTGAAGCTTAACCACTATCGCTTCTCCATATCCTGGCCTAGACTCATCCCCACTGGCATTAAGTGTGAGTAACAGCTGGTAATTCAAGCCCTTTGGAACTGAGCTGGTGTTTATGATTGAATTTGTTAATTGCTAAAGCTGAGGAGTTATGTGTTATGTTTTTTTGCAGCTGACCACATCAATGAAAAAGGAATACAATACTATGATGAACTGATTAACCACCTGCTGGAGAACCAGATCACTCCCATTGTTACTCTGTATCACTGGGATCTTCCACAGGTTGGTATACAAAATACTGATAATACCCAACTTCCCTAACTTTTTGCATTACTGCACTATTATTCTTTACTGAGTTACTGTACCCTTTGCTTTCCTAGGTCTTACAAGAGAAATATGGTGGATGGCAGAATATAAGCATGGTCAATCATTTCAATGAATATGCTAACCTGTGCTTTGAGAGATTTGGCAATCGAGTCAAGTACTGGATCACTTTCAACAATCCATGGGTAGGTTTTTTTTAAATCATAGAGCTCGGATAAGTATGTATATACCTGTTATTTAAAGTACTATTAACACACTAATATGCTATAATCTGCTAATCTGATTCAGTCTGTAGCGGTTGAAGGTTATGAGACAGGTGAGCATGCTCCTGGACTAAAGCTGAGAGGAACAGGGGCGTACAGAGCGGCCCATCACATAATCAAGGTAGGAGAATAAATATATATTCAGTAAACAAAAACCCTCAGCACTTCATGTGCCACTTTGAACTGAAATGTAAATCATATTCATGATATCTTTTTCATAGGCACATGCTAAAGTTTGGCACAGTTATGATACACAGTGGAGGGGAAAACAAAAAGGTAAACAAGTTCAAACTCTTGAAAGTAATATATTGAATTAATTCAGTATCTCCCTCTCAACAGTACTGTCTGTCTTAGTGTTGAGACCTGCTATTCACATCTGCAGGTTTGGTTGGCATCTCTCTGTCTGGTGATTGGGGAGAACCGGTGGATATCAGCAACCAGAAAGACATTGAAGCAGCAGAGAGATATGTCCAGTTCTATGTGGGCTGGTTTGCCACACCCATCTTTCATGGAGACTACCCACAAGTGATGAAAGACTTCATTGGTAAGATTAATTGTAAGCAGTTAATCCTGAAGTAACATCAGCCATTGGGGAATTAACTTATTGCTATCATAACTGTGTGTGCAGGAAGGAAGAGTGTCCAACAGGGCCTTGGGACATCTCGCCTGCCATCATTTTCCCCCCAAGAGAAGAGCTACATCAAAGGGACCTGTGACTTCCTCGGCATCGGTCATTTCACCACCCGCTACATCACCCAAAAGAACAACCCATCAGGTCGTAGCAGCAGCAGCAACTACTTCACTGACCGTGACCTGGCTGAGCTGGTTGATCCACGATGGCCTGACCCGGGGTCTGAGTGGCTCTACTCTGTGCCCTGGGGTTTCAGACGTCTGCTCAATTTTGTCAAGGTGACTTATAGTGAATGATGCAGAACAGGCTTGTTGATATTTGTGCTGTACCTGTAAGCAGCTCAGCACACTGCAACTCTAGTTCAATTACATTAAGACAGCTTATTGCACTTCATATTGATTTGTTTCCCATCTAGACTCAGTACGGAAACCCAATGGTTTATGTGACTGAGAATGGAGTCTCTGAGAAGATGTTGTGCACAGAGCTGTGTGATGATTGGAGGATACAGTATTATAAAGACTACATCAATGAGATGATGAAAGGTGAATGAGCTCACACACATGCTTTTTTTTGTTTGGAGTGAATCTATTCAAAGATTAAATTAATCCAACTCACTCTTTGCTCTGTGGTGTCACCCAGCCATCAAAGATGGAGTCAACGTGAAGGGCTACACTGCATGGTCCCTGCTGGATAAGTTTGAGTGGGATGAAGGCTACTCCGAGAGATTTGGCTTGTACTATGTGGATTTCAGGAACAAAAACAAGCCTCGCTATCCCAAAGCTTCTGTTCAGTTTTACAAACGCATCATCAGTGCCAATGGATTTCCCAGTCAGAGAGAGGTAAGAGACACAAAGTGGTTGCTACAAAGCCCTGACTCTAATCCTGTCCAGACAATGTTTTCAGATGTTCTGTTTAAATGATAACATTGAGAATCACTGGTCAATGCTCCACTGTGCCACAAAAATAATTCCAGTGCTGATATGTGATATAATTGTAAACCCCCACAGGTTGAGAACTGGAGAAGGAAGGCTGTTGAGACTTGTTCTTCTAGCAACCAGCTCCTAGCGGCAGGTCAGTTCGTCTATAACATTCCTGACCATATTTAGCAATAATCAGAGGTGAACAACTAGCTGGGGTAAACAAATAAAGATTCTGACCTAAATATCAAAAATGTGCATATAGGTTTTAAATGCAATCAAGAATTTAATTTGACTTGAATTTGTGTTGCTGTTCAGGAAACACATAAACAAATTATTAGTTAAATAAGAATGAGGGAAATATAAAACATAATTAACAAAATCTCTAACAGAATGTCTGAGATATCTTCTTTGTTTGCCCCTCCAGCTAGAAGAAAATCCAAGGAACATGCAGAAATGCCAAAGGTTTGGCCAGTGCATGATGAAGTGTAGAACTTATGAGGGTATATGTCTTCCATTCATGACATTTCTTTGTTGTTGATTTGTGATTGTGTGGTTAAATCTGACTAACAGAATTAAGCCTCTGCAGTTTAACCCTAAAACTTGCCTCTGAAACCAGCTTGTACACAGTGTGAAACTACATCTTCCTTTATCTGACATTTTACTAGTGTGCTTTAATCTAATTTGCAACCAAGAAGGACCCTTTTGATTTCACAGCAGCTTTGACAAAAAGTCCGTAAGCATAAAGCTTATCTGTGGACTTGTGCCCATGGGGTATTTCACAAAGCAGGATTACACTGTTTATCTTTTTTAGTTTAGTCAGATAACATAATGCCAGTGAAACTGTTAGTGATGGATCTTCAATTTAAAAAGCAAAATGTCAGCATAAGGTTATCTGTTGATAACTGAT